TGACAGGCCAGAATATAAAATTTGAGCATCCTACCTTTTTAAATTGCTGAGATAAAAATAAATTTTTTTACACCCATCAGGGAAACTCTTCCCATCTTATCATATCTTTTAATGAATTTATCTAAACCATACATTCTTATTGGTGGACATGTTTATACAAAACAGAAAGAGCATTTTCCCATCTACTGGAACCTTATTACAGTTATTTCTTTCTTTATGGTAGCAGATGTAGCCAATTTGCCTAAGATTGCTTAAGTGTGATGTGTGACAATTGTTCAGTTATTAATATATAAAGGATATTTTTTTACCTATTTATAGTTTAATTACAAAGCCAGTTATATTACAGCAGTTTTGGGACATTATTTTCTAGTACCCAATACATTTTTTTTACATTATAAAATGCTTATTTGAAAGTTACATAAATTTTTATTTGAAAAAAATGTTTAGTGAAAAAGTAAGGCCTAGTATAATCATGAATTGCACTTAGAAAAATCACATGGTTCACGCACTTTGCTAATGAGCTACCACAGTGATTTATGGCACATCATTGTGGAGGATCATGTCCAAGGATCATCAAAAGTGTGAGGCCAGAGAGTGAGTCAAGTGGCAGATTATATGTGATGAGACATGATACAGCCTATGAGCACCTCCATTCAGGGAGAAATGCACGATATGGATGAGTTCATAAATCCATCTGGTAAGTGTAGAAAACGAGAGATCTCTGGGTGAAGAGAGGTCTAAGGACAGAGAGAAGAAGGGTGAAATTAACAAAATAAAAGAAGATCTACAAAGTAAGAGAAACCTAACTGATGAGCAAGAGACCAAACAAATCTCACTGTAAACAAATGGGCAACACTCCTGGGTGAAAGAAAACAAGAGACATATGAGGTTGTAGAAAAGTGACCAAGTCTGAGGAAAAGGTGCCCTGGACTTGGTGAAGAAGAGGAAACAAAGATTGAGCCTGCCAAAAGGGGGGTTACCAACAGGATCAGACAATTTTCACAAACCAAACCCAAGACATGGGAGAAGGGAAAGAAGAGGGTACACATACAGAAAGAGATGATACCAATGCTGGTTGAAGCCATCCACAGCCAGAGCAGCTGGGTGAGATACCAAGGATCATAAGAGGGGAGGTTTGGTGTTGAGAGGAGTAGCAAAGATATCAATCACTGGTGTGTCCTACTGGGAACAGATCCAATAAAAGAACTGAGGATGGAGTGGCCACTTCATAGGAATAATTCTGTTTAGTTGAGAGAGATGATCTGCCACCAAGTTCAAAGCCCCTGGGACATGACAGGTAGTTAGACAAACCCAATTTATCTGGGCTCAAAATAGAAAGTTCCACATGCTGAAGCAAAGGTCCTTGGAATGAGTACCACCCTGATGACTGATATGAAAAATGACAGTAGAACTGTCAAGAGTGGATCATAACCAAATGATACACAAGTTGAGACAGGAAATAACAATATGTTCAATGGGCAGCCAAGAGTTCCAGAATGTTGATGTGGAAAGCACACTCCATATAAGCCCAAACCCATGAAACCGTGAAGTCATCCAGGGACCTGCCACAACCTGTAAGAGATGTGTTGGTGAAGAGACTGAGATCCAGAGGTGGAGGAGCTGTGCAATGCCAACTGTATTGTTGGCAGCACCACAAGAGGATTGTAGGAAACATTTCACTGGTTGCTCAAAGTCCATTGAAAATACCTCATGTGAGCTCAATCTAAAGGGACAAGACATTTCAGAGGTGCAAGTCCAAAAAGGAGATAGAATCTCTTCACAGGAAGTATAGGAGAGATAAGAGTCAAAGTGACTAATCACTTCATGTCTCGCAGACGAATGGGGGAAGGATGAACCTGACTGAGTCAATGTTTCTTTGAAGAGAAGTGATGTGGAATACATAAGAAACTCAACCGATGCTGAAGGGGAAAACTTGAAACTGGTATATCTTATCCTAATGAACGAATCTAAGAAAATGTCAGGAGGATGAGGCAATCAGAATATGTAGAAAGGTATCAGAGATCTTGACCTTTGCCAAACATAGTCCTGGGAGAAAGGCCAACTGAGAGGAAGAAATGCCTCCATCTTGAACTAAGGGACCACTAGATAGTAGTTGAGAAAAAGGTTGATGATGGGACACCAATTCTCAATCTGTTCAAGGGAAACAAAAAGATGAGAATAAAACCCTGGAGAAAAGCCCTTTCAATGGCTCTCTTGTCCAAAAGATCTGATACCGCAGCCTCAAGACACAGAAGATGCTGAGGATCGGGAGGATGAGGAAAAGTAAACAGAGGAGAAAGAGATGAGAAATAAAAAGTTGTGGGTAAGTAATTGAATGAAACCAACTGATTGGCTGCAAAAGGAGTCATCCAGAGGTCTGCAACTAGAAACATGCATACATCCCCCACAAGACTGAGCTGACTGGGTAAAAAGGAGGAAGTTGTCCATGGGACATGTGACAGCCAACTTGATATGAGGGTAGGCAGTGGAAAGGAGAAGGACAAGAAAGAAGAAATGAAAGAGACGGAGGATTCACTGGATTGAGGAATGGACATGGATTCATGAGGTTGAGAGAGATAAGAAACCAAGGAGAAAAGAAAGGACTGGTGTTGGACAGCCTCAGCCCAAATCTCCAAAGTGTTAGAAATACCCAAAAAACTTCAGGGAACAGAAAAGGAACCAGACAGAGGTCATGGAGGTAAAAATGGGAAAGTTAAACAGTAAAGAGAAAAGTGTCACATCCTAGAAAGTCCCAACAACAGAGGGACCAAGTAAGCAGGGACAAAGCAGAAGACTAAGCCTTGGCCAAAGAATTGAAAATTACCAACTGCAGATTCCTAGAAAAAAGTATCAAGATCAAATTGTAAGGATTCACAGAAGAGATAAAGAGAGGATAGGTAAGTAAAAAGGTAAAGATGGAAAAATTGAGCAATAGAGAGAATTACTAGACACAGGGGATCAGCTTCACAAGTGGGTAAGAAACATTCCATGGATTGCTAATCCAAGAATGGAACAGGGTAACAGCCATAAGCTATGGCAGAGGAATCCTGGAGTCAAGAAGGACAAGGCATTTGAGTGTGTGTGTATGAAACTGATCCAGAAATGTGTCAGCATGGATATGTGTTTGGAGAAAGAGGAAAAGCCAAATAACACTCGGCATGAGAGAAAGGTAATAAGGAACAATAAGAATCAAAAGACACAGGTGAAAGAGAAATCAAATCTACAAAGTGATTTGAAAGAGGAACATTTTCCTCTACAGGGAAAGAAGAGCTTAGTGCAAGTCCAGGAGGTGAAAAGGGCTTTCAAAATTGCCATCCTCGTGACCGGATTCAGAAATTGGGGGAATGCATTTCCAACAGGAACAGAGTGATGAAGAAATGAAGGCATTAATGAATCCACAAATCACTGAACAATGGTAGTAAAGTCTTTCACGGTCAATGAGCCTCCAGTGTCCACAGACAAAGTGGAAGTAGTGTTAGCAACATCACCAGAACTTTAGGAGGAAGTAGTAGTCACAGTCACTTTAAAATTCTTAAAGTATTGCTCCAAATCAATTTTTTTTAACTCAGTAATCAAAAGATGATGTAGTTTGAAATTGAATTTGAAACCCAATAAAATTAAATGAATGAAAATTAACACTGGAATAAAGTATTATTTCTTGGCACTTATGTATAATGTTAAAATAATAAATAACACACAATGTTAAAATAGGTACACAATTAAAAACATTTTAATTTAGGTCAATATATGACCACTAAAAAGTTGACTCTACATGTTTTGACATTGCAACATCATCTTCAGGAGTGAGTTGCAAGACATAATTGTGAAAAAAAACTGTAATATTGGCTCAACCAAAAGGTATTATAGCCAATAATATCTGAGAATCTTTGGAATCAATTAAATATAAAAAAATATCATGTAATATCAAATAGAGATGAAGGTCTGGCAAATATTTATGCAAATGCAAAATTGTGGGGTGACCTCTAAAATGTTCACGTGGGAATTGTAAACCTATACATATGTCATATGACTTATTTAACAACAAACAAAGTATATATAAAACACGATTATGTCTGCAACTCACCCCTGAAGATGATATTGCAACATCGAAACATGCAGAGTCAACTTTTTAGTGGTCATATATTGATCTAAATTAAAATATTTTTAATTGTGTGTACCTATTTTAACATTGTGTGTTATGTGTTATTTTAACTGGAATAAAGGTTGTGAAAATCTCACTATACTGAACAAAGTCTAACTATGATAAATACATCTGTTTATAACAGTGGTGAGGAAAAGAATAAAATTAATTTCGAGCTCAAGTACTTATGGGGATATACTGCATACAGAGGATGTGTCACCCTCCTATTGGTGGAGAGCTATTGTCTAATGACAATTACATCACACACTTGTGCAGTTTATGTTAAAATGTGTCTTTGGTAGGAGATAACTCAAGGCTAATGGCATGTGCAAAATTTCAAATGCTGATGTGCAAGAAATACTACTGTGTGCTGAATGATAAGTGGATTGTTTCAAATAAAAAATTAAAGATTAATTGTTTATTTTTTTCATTGTTATAAGCATGGAATATTTTTCTCTGAAAAAAAGTCTTTCTTTCCTTATAAGTTTATCTAAAAAGTAAAACAGTTTCAAGATAGTTTTGACTTACCAGTGTCATTTTGTAAATAGAGATTTTAATTAGCATTTTCATATCCCTTAGAAACAACATAAGTAGATACTTTCTGAAAAATGCTCAAGTGTGATTATTATCTCTGCCCTCAGAAAGGCTTTTTAAAATCTCTAGTTCATGCAGACACTAGTTTCTTGTTTTACTCAAAAGTCAATAAATAACCTGGTAGCAGAAATCAAATCAAATTGATATTAAAAAGCAGAACAATACAACATTAATTCACACAATATTTTGCACTTTTATCTGTGAAGCATAATTGAAAAATAAAACAAGTAACAAAGAAAGATAAAAAAAAACACAGAGATCTCACCTTTTTTTAATTCCTTTTCCTTTTTAAAGACTTTTCCAGTTTCTTCTAATAACAGACTGTCGCCAAGTTCACATATGTTAAGTACATTTTCTCCATCTTTGCATTTTTCTATCAGTCTCTTCAAAACACCTTTATACATATAACAAAAAACAAAAATCTTTTATTTTTAATACATTCTAACATAAAAATACAATAATTTCATGTTATTAATAAACTGTTCCTTTAAGTAACAACACAAAACAGGTTGTATGGTAGTTGCTTTTCTGTCTGGAATCCAAAGAAGCTGATACTGATTCACTCTTCTTTAAAGTGAATATGGCTTAGCACAAAGTAACTATAAATGATGTGTGGACAACATGTACTTATTTTTTTAAAACTTCATTAATAATCTGTATTAATCCCCAAGAAGTACTTTGCTATGGTGATGCATAAACCGACTTAAATTACTTCAACAATGAAATCTTCATTTACTGCTAACTGTAATATACTTATGTTTGAGTCTTTTTTTTTTTATTATAACCAAATATTTTGTTAATATATTTTGTGTATTATGCATATGAAAGCTTCGAAATACAGTCAACAATTTTCATTTTGCGAGACATTATATTGGTTGAAAGTTATCTAATATTCAGATCAAGACTGAACATTATAAATAAATATAGTGTTAAAAAAATCATTATCTTCATTTTGATGTATTGTGACAAATATAAAATTAGTTACACTTCTCAAATGTAATCCAGTTCACATTGTAAAAGATGATGTCAAGCAATTTGCTAATATCAACAGCATCTCAACCACTATGTCTGAAAGACCATGGTATTTGGTGAGAGGCCATACTTACACTAGGTTTAGTAGGTATAATAAAGATGAAAGTATAATAATTTGTTAACTGAACTAAATTATTATACATTCTTCTTTACTTTCATTTAAAAGATTTTACGAATAGTTACTGATGTAGTCTTCTTCCATAGATGCTGTGATCACTTGACCCACTTTGGGATTAAGAAAGACTAATCTGTTGTTTCTCCAATTCTTTTAAATAAAGAGCAGGTTAATAATACAAGAAAATAATAATCAATATATGGTGATGAAAATAAATTAAAAAAACCAATAATACAATATTAAAAAATTCTTACCCTAAATCTGATAAGTTGTGGCATGAATAAAATAGACGAAAGATTACACTTAACCAACCTTAATCCAGTTTACACAATAACAGCTGTTGTTAAGTGGTTTGCTAATATAAACAGCATCTTCTTAGTTTAGATGTTGATTGATTTGTTTTTGTGAGTGAATATTTTATTATTGTTTAGTTTTTGTTATAGTAAGAGTCAAAAGCAGATGATTGTGAGAGGTTTTGTTAATAATTCATTGATGTTGAGACCACTGAAAGTCATGTGCAATACACTGATGTTGAGAATATAGGAGAAGGATAGATGATTAGGTGATAAAGATATAAATAGTGAGAGACGAGTGGAAAACAACTGACAGAAGCAGACAGATAATAGCAAAAGAAAGTGAAGTTACAAAAGGAAAAGTTAGCTACCACAGAAGTGATAGGTCTAATGATTGACAGAGGCCTAACATTTAATGTTAGAATAAGACTAACAGTAGAAAAGAAGATAAGAAAAATAATTTACTCCATCAAAGCATGGTTCTAAAGTAATTGAATCAGTCTTAGTCCACTTTGACAAAAGGAACAGAGGATCTTCAGAAGAAAGAAGACCAAACGATTACAGT